CCTTTTATTTAAACATAATTGTAATTAAATTCTTTATGGAAGCCAACTGTGTTTTAAATCACCTTCTCCCAGTGTTTGAGTTTGTAAAAAAAATTACTTATGATAGCTAAATTAATAATTTGTCCTACACTTAATTTGTGCAAAAACTATAAACCACCTAAAACATTTTTTATTTAATCATATACTTTTTCCTCTACTTAAAAAAGTAATTTTGAAATGCTCGTGAAATTGTTTCCAGTAAACATCCCTTTCCTCACATCCCCTTCTTTGTGAAGTTCTTTACTATTTTATCATCTGGATTTAAAAAAGGAAGTCTTAATGCATGTGAGCAAAACAAAGCTACTTCTAGTTAGCAACGTGGTAATGCTGACCTCTCATCACAGTGCAGTTCCACATGGAATTGTGTAATAAGGTTGAGATTCTCCCCACTTCCCAGGATATATTATAGATGAAATGAGAGACCATGGTAGAGTAAAAGAATACCATAAAGGCTTCTAGCACTATTAATTGCTCTCCCTCCCCAGGCCCTGTCTCCCCAGGAGATCAGTGAATATTGTGTTGCAATGCTCCAGAGCTCCTTGTGTAGCACATAAATTACATTATGCTGAATGGCAACAACAGCAGAACCTCTCTAAGCAGTGTTATCATTTTTCTCTTTTCATCAAGTTATAATTCAGAAGCTGAGTAATCTGAACAAGTAGCTTTACATTAAAGAGAGTTGGAATGTGCTTGTTTTTATGTACTGGAACAGCTTTCTCATATTTTATAGAGAATCTTTTATTAAGAACTTTTTTTAAGTAGTAGGAACTTTGGTTTTCTTAAAGACCCCTGCTCTTAGAGGCATATTGAGTTTAGTGTACTTTTTCCTGTGCACACCTCTCAAGTAATGAATGTTATTGGCCTTTTATCAAAGAATGAGCAAAAGCAGGCACACTGCATGTATTTCATGATTATTAAGTAGTACAGAAATTGGGTAGAGCTTACCTTTTTAGTTCAGTTATGTTTAGTGCCTTATTCCAATAAAACAAGCAGATCTCAAACCTCCTTGGTTTCTCATTTCTGTTCACAGTGGTGTTACACTCAGCACTCAGTCAGTCTCTCAGGGCTCCAGGGCTCCATTCCGTTTGTTCACTGGGTCTGCTTTCTTTACTTTGCCACTGCCTTATTTGAGGCCCTCATAGTGCTTGCCTAAACTATTCAGAAGTCACCAAACTAACCTCTTTTCTTTTAATGTTATACTTTTCTAGATTATTGTTTATAGCCCGAATCATCTTACTAAAGCATAGGTCCAGTTGTTACATGAATTTTTTTCCCAGAGCCTTCAAAATTGACTACAAATTCCCTGGACTCCAGACCACCTCATCAGCATCTGTAACCTCTCATAACATACCCTGCATTGCAGGTGGCTGCTCAGCATTCCCCCATACAGCTGCTGACACACTTGGTGTCCCCATGTCCTGTGCGGCTCTTCCCTCAGCCTGAACATAAGCTAACTCTAAATTGAATGCCATCTCCCTTTCTCCTCCCATGCTTAGATTCTGGGTGA